CTGTAATATGCATGCTATCGTGCACAGGTCGTGCATGTTGTCGATGCTTCAGGAAGATATGGTGAAAAGCAAGATCCTCTCTCTTATATATCTTTATTTTCAAACACCCCTGGAAAGCTTGAGAAGGAGGTTGAACAGATTAAAGAAGGATTCACATGTGGTAAAGACAAGGTTGTTGATTTTGTCACCTTTTCAGTCAACTATGGTTGTTTGACCCATGATGATACTGAAAGTGGATGGAGCGAGTCAGATATTCCCACCTTGCATGTTGATAGCGATACCAAGGGGGGAGAAAGAATCACACGAGTTTCAATTGATACAAAATCCTCCATGCGCTGGTCTCTTGCAATCAATACCAAGGAGATAGAAGATTTCATTTTGAAAGGTATGTTGAGGTTTCTCTGGTGTGCATCCCCTCTTTTCTGTGTTTGAGTACCTTCATTGGAATGCATTCCTCTGAACATCTTCCTCGCTTTCTCACCTGCCCCCTGAAATTTTTATAACATGGGATACAGGAAACTTAGAAGAATTAATTCCTTATGGCAACAAGACTAGTGTCGATGGATGGCATCACATTCAGTTTTCAGGAGGGAAAGAATCACCAAGGAAGTTTGAGCTAACTCTTTTCTGGCCAGTAAAATCTATGCCCTCTGCTGACAATGTGGATAGAACGATACGGGACCAGCGTCCCTTGTTGAAGCTAAGAACAGATGTTGACCGATTAACACCAAAAGCTGAGAGAGTTCTTGCAAAACTCCCTACATGGTGCTCCCTGTTTGGAAAATCGACATCTCCCCTCACCTTAGCTTTCTTGAGTAGTCTTCCTGTTAATTTCTAGGTAAATGAATCTCTTCCGAGAACTGGGGACGTTTATTTATTAAACTCTCAGATTTTTACCTGCTTCTTGAATCTTGTACACATAAATTCTAGAGGGTTTTTTTTTTTTTTTTCCCTTTTAGAAAGAAGATTAAACAAAATGCTGTGAGATGTAAATCAATTACTTTGACGTTAGAAAGATTAAAAATGTTTTTCGTGATTTTTTTGCTCCTCAGCTATTTCGTTGAAATATTAAAAAGGTTTTGTAATGTAAACCATCAACCCATCATCAAAGACCTGTACCCGATAGTCTCAGGAGAGAGAAGAAGTGGAGAAAAAAAGTGATAGCATTCAAGATGACAGAGGAAAAAGAAGGGAGAGCTTGTGTGTTTTGAATGAACGATTGATTTACGAGTAGACGACAGAAAAGAAAAGCTCTGACATATTTACTTTAAAACCATCTAAAATGGGGGTACTTTTATAATCCAAACATGGTTTGGAGCCAGATTTAGATTCAGAGCATATTTGAGAATAAGATACAAATTATATTTTTAAAAAAATTTATTTTATTAAAATTTAATATATTTTATATGTTTTGAATTGTTTTAATATATTAATATTAAAAATAATTTTTAAAAAATAAAAAATATTATTAATATATATTTTAACATAAAAAATTATTTAAAAAACATCCATAATCAGACCCCCAGCTCTCAAATGAATTACAACAGCAGTACTAAACGACACCTAAGTAGTTTCCATGCCTAAGAATCTCAATCCTTGATAGGCCATGAACACGGCACATAACTAGATTCCAACTACTTCAAGGGTTACGGTAAGAAATAATTGTCGAGAGACGGGCAAATGCACAAAACTTAAGACTACTAAGTAATAGGGAGTTGAGGGTTTTTAAAAAGGATGTGTGGGATTGGTATATGTTCAAGAATCTATTTAGGAGATTACTAATTAAGCGATAGCCAAGCCATTAAAATGGTTTATTTCGCTTGGTATTGTTTCACTTCTAATTTCAATGGATAATGAAAAATTAAATTTTCCGTGGATATATTTTGTATGGATGATTTGACTAAAGAATAATTCAACTGTTTTTATAAAAAACTAGGCAGACCTAGGAGACAACAAAAAGGTTGTAGGTGTCCATGTTTTTTTTTTTCATTGTAATTAGGTTACCGGGTTAAACTACAATTTATAATTCACTGGATAGACACGAGTTAATTATTTTTTTTATAAAGATGATATTTGTTTAGAATTCTTTAATTAAATTCAATTAAAATGTTTTAATGAAATTTAATATTTAGAATTATTTTAGGTTTTAAGAATTGAATTACAAATTAAACTCAATTTCTAATAATTGTACAAAATAAATTAAATGTCAACCCCACTGATCTATAATTTAAAAAATAAAAAATTTAATATTAAAATTATTTTTTTCAAAATAATTATTTCTCCTTCTATTTTTTAAATATATTTAAAAGAAATAAGAGTAATATAAGAGTAATATAAAAAATAAAATAAAATAAATTCTATATTTTTCAAATACATCACAATTTATTTATTAATTGAATTTAAATTAAACATGGATAATTGCTGCAGCACTCGGTAACACGTGCCAATGAAGTCTACATGGAGGGGAAGAAGCCACAACGTATAGTGACAAACAACACACGTGTGATGCATTTTGTTCGTTGCGTTCAGGCTTTACTGAACCAAAACAAAAACCGGAAAGAATCTCCATTTCCTTACAGAGAGATAGAGGGAGAGGGGGAGACGGAGAGAGAATCTCTTCAGTTTCTTCCAATAGAAATGCGGTCAATACCGTTGGGATTCTCAGTATCTCCAACATCCATATACAACAACCTTAATTTCAATCTCAAGAAACAAAAACAACAACGACAACAACAAAATCAGTCTTTTTTCACTTATTCTTCTACAAGGGTTTCTCGTCATGAACTCACTCTCTCTTCTCTCCCCAAATCAGGTAAAATCTCTTACCGTTTTAAGCTTTTCCTTCATATCTTGCTGGATTTGAAGTTACTGTGGATTATCTTTTGTGGGTTATCATTCTTTTTTGTGTTTTATATTTATGTTGTAACGTGTTGTTGTTTCAACAGTTGGCCTGTAATCAATATTTTTTTGGCTAACTGGTTGTTATGATCCCTGATCTATTTGTAATTCTGATTTGATTTCAATTCTTGATATATTTGATTTGATATAATCTAGCTATCAGAATTGATAAAAACTGTAGTTAATTGTGAGACTTCCAATATGTTATTACAACTGATGGTGTTAGCTAATCTAGACAGTAAATCACATGATAACAAACGATCTAGGATTGGATCCTGCTCTAATTGGAGATGGGAGGGGCAAAGCAAGGGAAGGCTATCCTCCCTTGGGTAGCGTAGCCAATGGCTTGCTGGGCTTCCCTGTGAATTATTTAACAACTTTATGTAAACAAGACCCCGTCTTTAGTGCTAGTAAGATTGCTTGTCAAAATAAATTGTCAGAATATGGTATCTTTTATCATCTGCTTGCGTAGAATCTGTTCCCTAAAGTTCATTTGGATGATTCTGGTCATTGAGTGTAGGACCATGCAGAGCAAGTCAAGTGGCTGAATTTTATCCTACTGTATCTCCGGAGATAGTTGTAAGGGAAGCACGGTTGGAGGATTGTTGGGAAGTGGCTGAGACTCACTGCAGTTCCTTCTTTCCTGAATATTCCTTCCCTCTAGATTTTGTGCTGAGGGTTGACAGGCTGGCAGCCATGCTATCAGGATTCAGTATACCAAATGGCTGCAGAAGAACTTGTCTGGTTGCTGTCATAGGTAGCTCAGTTGATCAAACTTTCTATATTGGAATTGAAGATTTCAAAATTGGAGGTTTTGATGGGAAATTCAGTCTCAATCGAGGCTATGTTACTGGGATATTGACTGTGGACACTGTTGCCGATTTTCTTCCAAGGAAAGGCCCGCTCAGACAGAGAAGGTGAGTGTGAGTTTTTTGCTCTTATGACAATTAGGTCTTTTTAATTGTGTAAACCTTGCGTTGTAAAGTGCAATCTTGCATGCCATTGGTTTTGAGTAGATTTAAATTAAACTCTTTTAGTGGGTCACTAAACTAGCACAGCAGTTTTGTTGTCCAAGCTATTCAAAGAGAATTAACTGCTGACAACTTGCTGTCCACCGACTCTATGTTTGGTGGACCGAGAGTTTTTTTGAGAAATACTTTTTGGAGGATCTTTGCTGATGTTCCGTTTTCATGCTGAAACAAGGAAATCATAAGCAAAGACAACCCTAATACAAATGATCTGATGAACATTACTTATATCCACATAGTTTCTTTTACTTGCTTTTATATCCACATAGTTTCTTTTACTTGCTTCTTTTGCCTCTGGATTACTTCAGTTGCATTATTCAAATAGTTTCTTAAACTTCATTCCCTCAAATGTGATATGTATGCTTCTGCCACAGGACTGGGATTGCATATATATCCAATGTTGCTGTTCGGGAGAGATTTCGTCGGAAGGGGATAGCTAAAAGACTCATAGCGAAGGCAGAGGCTCAAGCTAGGAGCTGGGGCTGCCGTTCCATTGCTTTGCACTGTGATTTGAATAATCCTGGAGCTACAAAACTGTATAAAGGTCAGGGTTTCAAATGTATTAAGGTACCAGAAGGCGCAAGCTGGCCCCAGCCTAAGACCTCTCCAGATATCAAATTCAACTTCATGATGAAGCTTCTAAACACCCCAATCACCACATAGAATTTTTAGGAGCACACGAAGAATTGATAAGGTAAACGTTGTAGGAAAAATTGAAAGTAGGATAATTGAACTGCCTCGTATAATCTTGTATATGTGCTGGATCTTAAAGGGATTTCCACGGATCTCATGGTGCTGTATTTATGATGCCTGCAATGTCTACCGTGTGCCCGTTTGTGTGATAGATGACCTTTCTGTATAGCTTTTGGAACTATTTCAGAAAACATGATTCAATTTGCCTGGCACTTTGTCGCCTCATCACTCAAATCTGCTGCTTGTTTTTCTAGCTGCTGTCGTTTCCTCAATTCAATCATTATTTTTGCTTGCCCGATTAACAATTTACTATACTAACTCTTTTTTGGGGCCCTCGAAACTATACAGAAGCCAATATTAACGCAATCGAGGAACAGGATAGGAATTCAAATAGCATGTTTAACCAAAGACTGCAATTTATTATTATGGATAAAAGGCTCGTCACTCAGTATTTATTAATATCTCATCAAAATCAGATTTAACGAGAAAGACTCCGAAGCACCCGATGTTTTGCTTCTCCGCAGATAACCCACTCTGAAGGGATGCCTCCTTCAACAAAAAGTCTTGCACATGGAAACTGAAAGGCTGCAACTAGAAACTCAACTAATTATGTCTGGATAAACTTATCCAAGGCAGACGTATCCAATGCATGGAATTCCTTGACAGCAGAAGAGACAGCGAGTCCAAGTTTCACAGCATCTTCATGGCTAGCTGCCTGAAGCGCAATTACTTTTAGTTGCTATATATAGAGAGATAACAGTAGCAGTTGATGCAGAAAATGAAAGAATGTTTTCTACCTCGATGTTAAGGGGAAGAACGGGATCATGAAGTGAGAGTCTAAGAAGGAACCACCCATCAAAACCAGAAGCTCGAACCTGTTTAAGAAAGGGAAAGGGGAATAAGGACAGGAGAGAATTTATCGTAATGCTTTGAGAGCATGACACTTGATGCCAAATCACTAGTCACAGGCACTTCAATACATCCTCCATGATTTTGATCTGTGTCAAACTCACCCCTTCATAGTTAACAGGAGCTTTCTGAAGCTTCGGATCTGACTCTATATGATTCTCCAAAAGTTGCAGCACTGCCTCTCCATATTCTCGGAAAGATCTGGAAGTTCCAAGTGATCAGTTACACCACAGCAAAATTATATAGAAATGTGGCAAGCCATGCAGAAAACCGTACCCTCCTTTAAGATCTGGATGGTTCTGATCGATTTTCAATCTCAATTCCACAGCTACTCCTGGTTCCTGCAGACCCTCCACCAGATCAGTCAAAACTTTGCTGCCGCCAGCAATTCCAGAAGCTCTAGCTGAAGCCAGTTTATTTAAAACTTTAACCTGCATGGATAAACAGAAAACGGCAAAGATGAAAGTTAAGCAATAAATTGACAATACAATAAGGCAAACGAAGCTTAACCTTGCTATGTTTCATATAAAGCCTACCATGAGGTATGCTCCATCATCAAGCCAGTGGTTTTCTCTCAGAGCTCCATGGCCACTGGTTTCAATGGCCAGATGTGATTCCTCACCAACAGAGTTCTGCGAGCAATGTGAACACGACATTGTTATATAAGGGCACTGAGACTATCTAAATACCAAAGACAGAACAAGACATGCTGTTGAAAGTTGTTATACTAAAATCGACATGAAGAAATTTATTAAACTCTAGCTCACTGAAGACAAGATCCTAAAAACTGTTCAAAACGATATGATAAGGACCATATACAATAAATGATGAAGAGCTAACAAAGATTTTAGCATTTCAAACAAAAAGCAAATCAGAAACACCCTGAACAAATTCAGTCACCATTAGTAAGGTTATCATTCAATAACAATTTCCTCAAGCAAACTACTTTCATACTGATTTGCATACAACCTTCAGAAAAACCAACATCATATTCCGTGTGGTTTGAAACTCCATCCAGCCAGTACCATAACATATCATCATTACTAGTCCAACAATCAAGATTGCATACCCAAAATTTCCCTATTTGGTTTATTTCTTCATTAAACTGTCCCAAAAATTACCAAGTAAAAAATTTGGCATCTCAACTTACCAGACGAACAGCCTCATCAATGACATTTTTATAGCCTCTTTTGAACCGATGGTGCTTTCCCCCTAAAAAGGACTGCAGTTATAAGCATATTCATGTACAGGGAATAAACAATATGTCATTTTGGTTTTCTGCATACCGAGTTTCTTTTCAATAAATGTTGTCAAGCCATCTGAAGTCACACTGTCTGTAACAATGGTTGTTCCCGGATGCTAAATGGAAAACACAACAGGCCAAATTGATAATGAATTTGGTGGGGAAAAGAGAAATGGACACAAGTTGTATATTAAAACAGTAGCACTTGAGACAACTCAAGTATGAAGCTCTTACTTCCTCTAGAACAATGGCAGACATCAAGGCAATCAAACGATTCCGGTTGAACTCACGACCAATGGAATCAACAGCAGCAGATCTGCAGGAAATGATTATACATTGAAAAAAGAGCCGATACATGAATGTTCTATATGATTGGGCAGAGTGGGATAGTTAAAATACCTGTCAACATCAGTATCAAATATGATCCCCAAATCGGCCTTGTTCTCAAGGACTGCCTGGGTGATAGCCTTCATTGCTGTCTTGTCCTCTGGATTGGGAATATGATTTGGAAACATACCTGTTTTGAAAAGTCATTTTAGTATTACTACATAAAGAATTTGCATATCAATAGCCATAAAAAATTTCTGACATCAACATTACCATCTGGTTCCAAAAACTGGCTGCCAGAGGTGATAGCTCCTAGAGGCTGAAGAACTTTTTCCTGGAAAACCATCTGAAATATTAGCATATTTGAAGACAAGGAGATGAAAAGGTTGAATAATGGAAATGGAAGGAAGTTCTTTAACAAAATAACTGCATATATGTTGTGGATTGTGTCGCCACAGTCTGGACTATGAAGATTCAAGACACTTGGTTAAATGCCGATGATAACAGAGGCAGTAGTGTTCAGAAAGTTAGTTACTGGGAAGCACTAGATGAACATCAAGTATAGATTTTGTAACAAACGAGAACACTAATGTTTTATATGAACAGAAGAAAGCTAAATAAATCACAACATGACTTACAGCAAAAAATCCTCCTGCTCCATTTCCAGCATCAACAACAATATGGAATCCCTCCAATGGCTTCTCTAAAAGTTTAACAATTTCCAATCAACAATTAGCAAATGGGATCACACCACCTTAACAGGCAATTGGAAAAAAATAAATTAAACAAGTAACAGTAACAATGAAGTAGAAATCTCATGCAAAACATCTCCAAGAAAATGCAAAATATTTTTTTTAAAAAAAAGACTATAAGGGAAAAACCCAGTGGTTAAACTTAGGATTTTTAGTCTTGTGATCAAATCCTGAAGTGAGTGGGGGTTTAGAGAAAGCAAGAGGATCACTGCCTATCATGTGGACCAAGGTCCAGAAAGTCTCCTAATGAAGCAAAACAGAAATATTTGATGGACTAGCATTCCCAAATTTACCAATTCATGTATGAAAACTGTTTCAGAACATTTACCTATATTTTCTGCAGCTTTGCGGACTGCCTTCACAAGATCAGATGTATACACAGTCATGTAATCAACTCTTTTTATGGATTCAGAAGCCTTCTGTTTTGACTTCATTAAACCTTGATCTGTGAAGCTCTTATATATGTCTGCAGCACGCTCTAAAATGATTTTGATATCAGCCTTCCCAAGCCCACCAGCATTTGTGAAGAATTTGAACCCATTTCTGTTGTAAGGAAGATGACTAGCTATTTGCAAAATAACATCAACCAAAAATTTGATCAGGTGAAAGATAGTCAGAAAGCCTATTAACATGGTCCAAAGTAAAGCAAGGTTTGCACCAAAGTTCAAGCAACAAAAGTGGCAACATTACAAGGGCCATTTCCAAATCCCACAATTATAATAGGTCAACTTAATCTAACAGAAAATCAACCAGTTACCTGTTATCATTATAGCCCCATCAACAGGACATAAAAAAGCTTCATCTTCAGTTAGTGTGCTATTAAACATTGCAGGGGTAGATGCCAGTCTGCAAAAGGTAAGATGCTACAAAAGTTGAGAATAAATCATGAAGTCTTCAGTTAGTGTGCTATTAAACATTCCAGGGGTAGATGCCAGTCTGCAAAACGTAAGATGCTACAAAAGTTGAGAATACATCATGAAGGAACAATGGTTAAACCATGTCTTAGCCATGGATAAGATCCATCACAATCTTCCCAGAGGAGGAAAAAGTCATATAAGTTGTCTTCCCTGAAAAGGCCATCACAAGATCCAGCCAAAGAGATTTTTGGCCCAATATCATCGAGCTTGGAATATCAAAGAGAAGGCCATGCACAGTAAGATGAAAACAATTGCTAGAAAATCAAATCAAGATGGGAAATCATAAACCCACCCATATTGAACAACATCCAGGCCTGCAACAGCAATACCTTGAGAAACTGCATCCTGCAATTTAAACCATTAAATTTCAGTAATTTATATTAGTAGATGTGGATATTCCATGAAATAATATCTCTAACACTGCATGGTAGATGTATTCAGAGTAACTCTCTTTCAAAAAGATTATATTTTTTGCTGTTTGAATGGCATTTTTAGCATAGGTAAAATTAGCAACTACTATTATTCACAGATGGAAAAAAAAGAGAGAATTAACAGTGAAAAATATAAACAACTAAACATCAATTGCATAGCCAAAACAAAGTAACTTGATGAATCCAGTCAGAAGAAAGCATCTTCCGCTTTGTTGGACCTAATTTCTTCATAAGAAGGAGTTGATGGTTCAGAGCAGAACTGCTACAAGCATGTTTCATGAATGCCAATAACACAAGCATCATATGAGCTTAAAATAGAACCATAGAACAGTTGACCAATCAGAATGGAAGAGAAGAAAAGACTTAAAAATTGTTTGCAGATGATTCCAAATAGCCAGTAGATTAATGCACAAGAGGAAAAACAATAACTACCTGCAACACCTGTGCAGATATGCGGGAATCATGGCCAACAGACACTCTCAAAGGTTTGGACGCATCAGCCCTCTTCATTTCCAGTAACCACGCGGAAAAGGCTGCTGCTATTGCTTCTGTAACTGGTTCAGTGAGGGTAACAGGTTCTCCCTCAACGCCATCAACAGCCACACCTCGAATATCACTATGTTCACATTATGAGATAATACAAGCACAAGGTCCAAGTTCAACCACTTCCAATTAACACTAAAGTTAGCTTGGTTCCAACTTCCAAGCATGAAGCATAAGTAATACTTTTAAAACCCGGACAGTAAATAAACAATTCCCACCAAATAATTCTAAAATTATGCCTTTAACCACAGAAAATACTCACCTTCCATTCTGAAGCTTCATAAAATCCACCTTCTCCAGATATGGCACCGCAGTCGTCGACGGAGCAGCTGCAAGAAAGACCAAAAGCAGAGAATGTGTAAAAATTATTGCAAACTCACAGTAACAAATCAGAGTTATAGTGCAACAACATCTGTTTCCATCACAAACAGAAAAACAAAAGCATGTTGTTTACATGCACAGAACACGAGCATAAGACACAAGAATTTTCATGCAATGATCAACCTGGGAAAATGATAGTCTACAACAGAGCAGTACAGACCATTGCAGTAAATATTTCGACGGCTAACGAAACAACAGTGGTATTTTGGTAATAACTTTTTCCCTCCGTGGAAGGAAAGGAAGTTGCGGTGGTTATAAGGGGCCGCCGCAGAACAACAGTCCCTTTGGTTGTATTGATTTGTCGTCAACTCCCTATTCTTTGCTACAATTACATTTTCAACAATCTTCTTGCATACTGCTGCACTCACAACACAATTCCAAAAAATAAAAATCGATTAAGCAAAGTTAGAGAGGTTGGTGGTCACTGTGCTTATATAGTGAAATCAGGTTGTCGAATTCGATTCAGTTTCTATGATTGCTTGAATTTGATTACTGCGAGGGAAATGAGAAGTGGGATTCAATTCTACTGCCCTGCCATTTTCTTTGACGGTTCCTGGCGATGGTGCCGATTTTGGTTGTTAGGAGTCTTAAGACGGAGAGAGAAAGAGAGAATGGGTGACGGAGAAATTGATGAAAATGGAACGTTAATAATAATAATAATTTAAAAAAAAAAAGGAAGGAATAAATCCATATAACCTGTTTTTTTTTTTTTAACAACGCGAACGATGCTGTGGTTAATGTTACCAGTGAATGATGTCACGTGCTTCTACTTTTACATTGGGTTGTGATTAAAAAATAGATTTTTATAAAAAAAATTAATTTTTTTAATATAAAAACATGTGTATAGTTAAAAATATCATGAGAAGAATTTTTAAATGTAAAATAAATAAAAATTATGTTTTTATAAATAAAAAATATATTATTTTAGCTTTTATAAAATTAAAGTTGAAAATATAATTATATGTATGGTTATGTACAAAAACAACATACATGACTTAATTAACTAAATAATTTTTCTCTATATCAATTAAAAATAAAATGTAACACAATACTAATTTATCTCTTGTGTCTCGTTAGATATTGCAGCTGAAATTATATTTATATAAATTTAAAATCTTCTATTTATATTTTAAGAACTGATCATTCTACAGAGACATCAAAAAAGTTTTTTTTTATATCATAAAAGGGTTATTGAAAAATAAAAAAGCATTACTTGATTTAGATACCACGTATTCTTTCATTTATATTTTTAATAATGTTTTACTTTCATACACATTTATATTTATATAACATACCTCGTCCTTTAAATTTTTTTCGTTGATTTTTGAGCCGCCCAGGATTCCTCGACAATGTTTTTGAAAAATCACCTCTGGTAGAAGAACCATGAATAGATGGAGAAGGGTGAAGGAAGGGGTGAGAATAAAAGGTGGTTATTTGACGTAAAGGAAAATGCAGGTTAAAAACTTAAATCATTATTTGTTCGTTTTTATTTTCATAATTTTCTAATATATTTTTTAAAATCAAAATTTTTTAAATTTAATATTTGCATTATATTGTACTTAATTATTATTAAATAAAATAAAAATAATATGATTCAAACTTGTAATCGTTTAATTAATGAGTTTTTGATACCATATTAAATAAATATCTCAACTTTGTAATTTAAGTTAAAATATGAAATTAAAGAATATGATTTATATAGTTCTTTAATGTATGTTATGTTATATGTGTATTAATATAGACTATCATGATTAAAATAATAGTAGATTTTTTCAATAAAATAATAAATTAATGTTTCTAAGTTATTATAATAAATAAAATAAAATAAAACTAATATAAAAATATTTTGAATATAAAATTTAAAATTAGAACAAAAAACTATTTTAAACACAAAAAAAACCATATTTAGAAGCTCGAAAACCAGAATTATACATTCAAACACATGGTTACTAAAAGATCCAATTAACAATTATATAAAGTATGTGTATTCATGGATATAATGGGTTGGGTTTTTATACGAAATTATATCCAATCTAATTTTTAATATTTTATGAAATATAAACTCAAATCATTTATTTTTTTAATTATAATAGGTTGGATATATTGTGCTGGACCGATTTTTTTTATAGATATTACATAAATATATTAATTTTTTTGTTCTTTGATGGTTCTATAACAATATTGGATTGCAACCTTTTAAATACATATATTAGATACTATAAAAACTATTATTATTCTAATATAAAAATAAAACAATACAAAAATTACAATCAGGCTCTTTATCAGACAATTAAAGCACAATATGATACTAAAAAAAATATAAAATGTTTTGTAAATTTATAATTTTACTATGAAAATAAAAGTTTAATATGAATTATTAAAAATTTCATTTATTTTCTCATAATTTCTTAATAATCAAGCAATCTTATTAAACAAGAAAGATTAGAATGATAGAATGTACTATTATTTCATCAAATCAAACTTCAAATGAGCAACTATAATCTATGTAAAAGCGAGGAATAAAAAGAAGATTAAAAAACAAGGAGTAGATGTGGATGTGAAAGCAAAAGAAAAAAATAAAGAGAAAAGAAAAAATATTATTTATATGTAGAACTCAAATTATTTTATTTAGCTATACGTGGTAGGTTAGTTAGGTGGACTGAATTTTAAAAATCTAAACTCACACTTGACTAATAACATCTATTTATTAGTTTTTTTAATTTAGCATCAAATATAATATTTATACTATCCGATTTTTACTCGTTGGATGTAGTTAGGTAATGTAAACATGGCGTGAACACCCCTGGTACCCACCAATCTGACCAGACACCCTGTAATTAAAGACTGTAAAAATATCGCAATAAACGACATCGCTTTCGAGTCAACGCGGAAATCAGGCCAGGCCCCAAGCCAGCTATTGAAATTCATAACAAATACAAAATCAAACACGCCAAACATCCCCTTCCATTCAGTTTCGCTTTGTTATCGCTCCAGTTGAAGAAAAGTCCTTTCTATCTAGGGTTTGGGTTTGACAATCATTTCTTTGAAGATGTTGGAGGTGGTGTTGAACGATCGTTTGGGAAAGAAAGTGAGAGTGAAGTGCAACGACGACGACACGATCGGCGACCTCAAGAAGCTCGTGGCGGCACAGACCGGCACCCGAGCTGAGAAGATCCGGATCCAGAAGTGGTACAACATCTATAAAGACCATATTACCCTCAAGGATTACGAGATTCATGATGGCATGGGCCTCGAGCTCTACTACAACTAGAATAAACATGTAATCTCCTCCACTCTCATAATCGATTTTTTATGCTGTTTCTAGGGATTTGATTTTGAATTTATTTTGCGGGATTTTTTTTTCATGATTATGTGCCGGGGTTGAATTATAATGAAATTGACCCTGTATTGTATATTTTTTTCCGGGTGAATTTTAACTAGTCTAATTGCTGGAGTTGATCATATGTTAATTGTCTTCAATGTTAATCTAGAAGCGAAATTTGTTGACGAATTACTTCGTTGGCTAGCTGTTGATATGCTATAGTAAATATATTGGATATTGTTCACCAGGAAGGTTTTGGTGATTTCGTTCTAGAGAAGAAAACTAGGCGATGAAGCACTTGGTTTTATATATAAATGGTAAACTAAAACATGTCTCGGTGAAATAAATGTTTAAAACAACTGAGTTCACATTTATTTGAATTACTGTATGCTATTGCCTTGTACTAATGAGGCTCTAGTTTTTATCTTGCTTTCCTTCTAGGCTAATTGAAGTTGATAGCTTTGTGGTGAATTTGTTTGGTGGCAATATCGCTTGCCATTCTTTTCTGAAATCGATATATATATATATACACACACCGACACTGTGATAGTTGGCTGATTCTGGTTTTCATCTCACAAGATAAATTTTATTTCACTTGTTTTATTATGTTTTTTGTGTCATAATTCATGGTGCTATTTGATAGACGATGACTGCATTAGAGTAATATAGTCAATATGGTTAAGATGCATTTGTTATCATTTCTTTTGATAAATTTGTTGCTTACTAGTTGAGAGAAAACTGACAAGGAAATTTACTGCCACTTTTTTTGGCTTCTCCTCACTGATCCAGGAATTCCAGTGCAGTATTGCAAGGCATTGTGGAAGATGAAGCTGCCTCTTCTTTGCTAGTAATTTCTTACTCTTTGCAACTAGCCTGATGGTTTGTAATTGATGCACATATACTTATATGAAATATGTAATGACTGCCATGACTAGATTTGGTTATAATATGTTAACTTGCAGCGTGTTCTGTTTGGTACAAGTGTTCCAATTGTCTGTGAATTGGTTGTTTTATAACCAGGACTCTTAGGGTTTCAATAGGATGAAAAACTGGTTGATTGGATAACTAACTATATTTTTATTTCGCTGATGGCACGTGTATGCTTTACGCCTTGATCTTTTCATTTTCCATGAAAACATTATGAGAATGAAATTACTGCTTGTAAACACACTCCATGAACTATTTTATGTACTAGGACTACTCAGAAGGCTTTCTTCCCAGGAATCAATAGTGTTTTGAAACTGAGGGAGATTGTCGCATTTTGTAGTCTTTTTTCTGAGGTTTGAATCATCATGTGGGTTTGTGGTTTATATTTTCAATAAACAGTATGCAATATGATCTAGATGCAAGCTGGTCAATATTGCAATGAAGCTTGCACTTCCCATCCACCAGACCAACTGGGCTTTAATGCTGTTTATGAGCCGCTGATTGCTTCTATTAGCACTTGGTGCACATAGATATTCAACAACTCGTGGTGATTCATAATAAACCCCTCATGTCCATCCGCAATGAACTTAACTTTACAAACACTGGCAGTCGTTTACATTTAATGTGCCATGAAGGAAATGGAAATATATGACGTAACCAATCCGCCATTTCATTCTCAGATGATCTTTCCATGGATACTGACTGCAAGGGGTATCTTTCAAACCTATAGGTTTGGTCACTGGATCTGGACGTGATGAGTTGAGTGATTAAGAACTTAAAAGTTTACACAGTTCATCCTAGAGGCTGTTAGCCGGAATGAACCAGCAGAGCAGCAGTAGCCTATGACCTGCAACTGCTGTGTGTTATTTCTAGTTATTTTCCTAGCATCCCCCCACTCATAGGGGAAGGGATCGGGAGATATATGTGTGTGTGTGTGAAGCTAAACCTAGCGTAACAGTACCTGAATCGGTTGGATTAACCATCCCAGAAAATGGATTCTATTTGTATGGGATTGGTGATTGAGAAATTGAAATCTCTGGCGTGGCACAGAAGATACAACGGAGCTTCAATCACAACAGATAACCAGTGAGTTTCGGCAAGATTTTTAGATTTTAGCTTCAAATCAGCGGCCTGATCAAGAGTTTAAATATCTGACTGGTAGTTTTGTGTAGATTTTGAAAACGGAGAGAATCAGGGTTCTTTACCTATAAATCTGGGGAGATGAATCGATGATGCTAATACATGCACTCCCCAAACACTACACCGCACTTTCGCTAATTATATATTCACAAATTGACCATGAAACCTCCCCTCACCATCCTGGCATTTACCTCTTCTTTAGTCTTGCCTCCAGACAAGGAAACTTGCTTAAAAACACGACACACCACACAATTTACACGAACATGTTCCTTTTTACCAGAACAAGAAGAAAACTTGGAATAATGCATCGCGAGGATTGCACAGTTACCCCGTCAACCCCCTTAATTAATTATACACAGAAGAAATAATTTTCTGGTTTTGCATTGTGGTATCCTTAGTGCATGTCTTTGGATTGGGTTGTTTTAAAAATCAAGAGGTTTTTACAAACACGAAATTGTTAAGCTAACGATAAAGGTTTGTGGGACTTGTCACTCGTGTGTTAAGAGTTGACTTAGCCCACACTTCTCTTTGTTCTGCTGTGATGATGTTAATTCTTTCTGGATTTGCGATGTTTTCGTTTTTGCTAATTTTACTTTCCGTTTTCTTTTTCAATTGAGGCAACAATCAATTTTGAGATTTAATTTGGCGGCTTTGAATTTGAAGAATCAACAAATTCCAGATCATTGAAAACGAAACTGGACTAGAGAGTTGATTGAGAAGACAGGGAGATGGAAAAAGGATCCCTACAGGGGTATGGTTGTCAATCACAATAAAATAGAGTTGAAGTGCGCTTTTAACCTTCTTCACTTACAAGTCCTATGGAGTTCATGTCACTCAAGACGTCATGTAGGTATAGACAGTTCTTTTACGTAGGCCTCAACCTTCGTCGTACTTGGGTTTTCGACATGGAGATGATTCGGTGGCCGGTGCTTTGTCAAACTCAAGCCTCTGCATTGTTTGTGACGCCCCGAGTCCGACTCCCACTCCCACAGACCAGTGATATTCTTTTGCTGATGATTGATGCAATCGCCATTCTTTGGAATATCCCTCACAAGCAAATTAACAACGCATAATCTCACATTTCTCTGTACTTGGTAACACCGCCGCCTCCTCTTCTTATAGACAAGCAGAAATTTTGGCTCTTCAAATCATTCATGCCGCGGCGTCTAGCAATAACTCGGTTCACTTCCGATCCCTGCTTGCCATGTTCGCCATCACCATACAAACGCGACCGCCAACTACATCCATACAACAGCTCTGCCTGCTCTATTCACTCTCCAGGTCGGCCTGCTGGCAAGCTTGGAGAAACTTCAACAAACTGAGCACCTTTATCCTTCCTGCTGGAAGGAAGATCATTGATTCCTCGTCCAGGGACTCCAACCTAACTAAGCATGAAAGTCTCGAAGATCATAATAGAAGAAGAGAAGCCATTTTGATTACATCCTCCATGTCAAACAACAAGATGCAGTACCTATTTATTACAAGGGCCTCATCGATTGTTCCTCCGTCATCAACCGACAAAGAGGACATTTTCGAATATCCTCAACCAGTCCTGGACATGGAAGCCATGCCACCAGAGGCTTTAGAAGTCTATGCAGCCTCCTTTACTCTTTTTCAGGGACAAGTCCGAAAATTCTTAAACCATAAAACTACCCCTCAAATTGGGTTCGCATGTCCCCATGGCCTGATCTGGACTTTAAAGTTTTAAGGAGGCTAGTGTGAGAACCAGCATTTTTTTCTCCGGGTATTGAAATGGGCCAAAGCCCATAATACAAAAAGAAGCAAGACAGAATCTAGGGTTCTGAAGAGCTCTTTTGGGACTACATCAAATTTTCAGTTCCTCTCCGTCCATATCAGCTCCTTACTTACCTAAATCTTGGAGCAAGCATCTAATTTGCCAAGTCTCAAGGGCCCAATAATCATGGTTCAGGTTTATTGGGCCATCCTGTTGTGCTCGCTGACGATCCTTCGGTTTTCGCCATGAACTTCCGCGTTTGTTCGGTTCCTGTACAAGAAAAAAAAAGAAGAAACAGTCGTAACACAAGAGATAGGTACCTCGTATACACCTATTAGATCAAAGGAGAAAGAAAACGCGTGTGAACGAGACTATTTAAAAAATGTAATGTGTTTTGATCGACACACTTTCGTTATATTTCATTTTTTTTTTAGTTAAATAACATATGATTTATAAATATTTCTTTATAAAATATCAAAGACTATAAAGAATAGGTTAGTATGTTTAAGATAATTTTTTTTAAAAATTAATACATGATAACATTTCATTAAGAAATTAATCCTAGTCAATTTTATGACTTTTTAGTATTTCTTAAGAAAAATATTTGACTTGCGTTAATATCTAATAAATAAACAGGCCAGTGGTATCAATGATAATCACCTGTAACTGAAGGGTGTTTGTATGTATGGTTTGGAGATTTGGTTGTATTTGCAACATTTTTCAATGACTTGTCATACGGAGAAAATGACACTCATACGTGATCAAGGCGTAGACAGATGGTTCTTTTACGTAGGCCTTAATATTTGTTGCTCTAGGGCTTTCGGTGGAGGATGAGTGGCTTCAAAGCTCGTGGCCAAGAAACAATTTCACAGAACACAACATGTTGTGTTGACAAAAATGGCTTGTTTTCTTGACAGTTGTAAGTTTGACAAAGCTAATTAAACATCTGCTTGCTTCAATACCTCGCTGCTTTAAAATAGCCTTTGTTGCTCTAAGTTTCTGTTCCACGCACATTCATGCTACAATAAAAGACAGCTCGGAGGCTTCCAATTCCCATGTCGGAAATCTGATTTCATGGAGTTGACCCCCGAGCCATATCAATGGAAATTCTTGGATCTCGGTCTATAAAATAACACAAAAGCAAACACAGCATGGCATCAATAACATGACATATTGAAACTAGCAAGACTCGGCAGATTCAATGCTATGTTCCCTGTCACTTTTGCCTTGTACAATCATCCTCCTCCTTGGCAATTTTGATGCTAGCCCTTCTCTTCTAATTCCTTTTTGCGTGTTTATTAAGTTAGTTTTTTTTTCCCCTTAAACCTATATTACATCACACTTTTGTGATTGATCAGTAGATTTCCTCCGAGCACGTTCAAACTCGAGCCTCCCCAATATTTTTATATAAAAGCCTCGCTCGAATTTAACTTGCAACGGTTAAAGATGTACTCGGCGTTGCTAATCCTTTTACATTGGGATAGATATATTGTTGATGGTCGAGAATTTGGATAATTGACACAAAGTATTGACTGCATGCTGGACACAGTCAAAAAAGCATCCCGTGGGAGGAGGGCTCGGCCATCAAAACGGCACATTGTATGAATGGTTGACCTTGGCCTCATCATGTGATTAGCTATTAATTAATTAACTGTGATATTATTTTGTAGAGAAAGAAAGAAAGGGAGACGAAGAAGATACGATGTTATGTTAATGTTAGTCTTTTAATAATATGATGGATCCAACGCTAGACATTTAGAATGTGTCTTGCCTGTTATCTTTGCTGTCTACTGTTCAATGTTACTCTAACAAATGTCAAAGACATGCACTCTATCCACATTATTATTATTTTCGTCTTAATTTCCTTTTCTCTCTTTTTTTAGGTTATGGTCTCTCATGTGCACATATTTCCAACAATATTGTGATTATTTTCGGTAGATTCTTTTATTATTATTCAGGATTAATTTTGCTATAATTACAGTATTTATTCATGGAGATAGTTTATTCCTCTCTCTTCCTTTTTTTTTTTTGTGCCGAGAATTATAGACAAACCATCCATGTTAAAATTAGAACATTCAAGATATTTTTCCTCGTGATCTCTTTAAATTCAAAATGAGTAAATCCATTAAACACCTCGACAATGCTGTCTTAGTTGATATCAGTTGGTCCTTATTGAGAGATGATTTGACAAAAAATGGAAAAAAAAAAAAACCCTCTGAAACTGGATTTGGCCCTTCAAAATATATGTATAGAAACACAT